GAAAACTTGTAGTTGATAATTTAATGTTTAATTATAACCTTTATACGTTCATCACAATGTAACATCAGCACCTGTCGCTGTGTGAAAATGAACTGAATGACAATGTACAAGAGACTACCGGACTAGCAGGAAGGTGTATCTTGTTTCAAAGGTCATAAAAGTGAAAGTTTGCTAGCAGCCCATTAGACAATGGCTGGGGGTTGCAAGCTAGTTTTGAAGGTAGAAATCCCTTGCACTTGTCTGTCAGTTTCCACCCTCCTCGCATTCTTACTACGCCTCCAAAAGATTCTTGGAAATACTTGGGGTGGTGAGGCTTTGCAGATTTTAGTGCATTAACCTTCTGAAATATAATAGTTTGTCCTTCATGAACTTTACAAACCGTTAGTTGGACAAACCCTTCTGCAATTCTCAGAATCACTTTTCCTGCAGCCTGCTAATTTATGTCTGCGTGAGACTTCTTGTCTTCCAGTCTGCTGGAAAATTGTCTTTACAAAAAATATTTCTACTAAAATTTTAATATCAATTAGCTCTAAAAGTTGAGGGGCCGCATGTTTGACACGGCTGCTCTAAACTATAGTGAACCATGTTGTGATACACTGCTGACTAACAGTAACATAATACTATGTAAAGGTCTAGAAGTTAATTATTTTCCTTCATCAAGAATGCTGAATCAGCAAGAATTGCGCGTGCTTTGCGGCCAGTGATTCACCGATAGTGTTGAAGCACAGAGCTGTGAACGTGTCTAGTTATGAAAAATATTCTCTGTATATAGGTGTACATCTGCTGAGTACTGTGTGTGTCTGAATCATAGGTTTGTTGCCTGATTGGATAAGATTATTATTAAAATTATATTCAGATAATGAAAAGGACATTAAAGCAACATGTTGGACCATTGTGGTATAGCATGCCTGATGGCACTCATTAGTTATATTTGGCTGTTAACCTGTAAAATGGAAGTAGAGTTTATGTTGGCTTCTCATATAATAATTATCTATACTATGTTGGCTTGTGTTATATTGTTATGTGCTTTGAAAATTTTTTCTTACTGTGTCAAGTGAGGTACACTTTATTATTCCCCATGGTAGACATAGTATTCTTTTCTGTAATAATTGAATATTTTGATTAGTACGTATATGTAATGTTGTCATGTGTTTTACTCCTATGGTTTGGAATGTTTTATTATGCTGTGTATTATGTAATGTTTTGACATACATGTACTTACAATATGTCATAAATTCCTTCGTAGCATTCCACATACAAATTCATAAGTCAGAACATTACATAATACAAAGAATAATAAAACATTCCAAAGCGGATGAGTGAATGAGACTATAACACTACATAGAGCTTACTGATGATAAGTTATTACAGATAATACTACTATGCCTACCATAAAGGGATAATAAAATGTACCTCACTTCACACAGTTAGGAAAAGTTTCAAAAGTAAAATGAAAAAGAAAAGGATATAGTTATTCCAGGGCTTATCTTGACCTTGACCTTATTGTTGAATAATTTATGAAGTAATTAACACTAACAAGCCATATATAAAGCCAACATCACATAACGTAATATAATGTTACCGGCCAACACCGAAATAAGATGATTAATAACAAGCACCACCATGCTTGCTATACCATAAGTACAACAATAATAGAGAACCACAGCATTCCACCATGTTACTTTAATGTTATATTAATAGAATTCTGATAATAATTTTAATGCAACCAAACAAGAAATCAAACAAACTAAGAAGATACACCAAATGTGCACTATACATATACTTATGTACATTTTACCCACATTATATATTTCACTGTTTCACCTTATGATAAATATCTAATTGAGTAATGCTTATGTAAAAGGTACTCAAGTTCTGTTAGAATGTATGGCGTGACGATTCAGATGATTGATGGTGAAGTGTGTATACCACCTGAAGATCACTCAGAAACGGGGTCAAAGCATGTACTGGGTAAGAACAAACCCTATTAATTCTAGATAGTTGTGTTGACGTTATTCTAAGAATTATATTTATTGAACATACCTGGATGATTAAAGCTAACTAGCCTCTCCTAGAAAAATTTGGTAGTTGATGGGCAGTTTAATGTTGTGGTCGTGTTAAAATTTGGCATGCTTCTGTACATCTTCAGAACTGCCTGTATGGCAAAGAACACAAGATAGCTGCAGCATGAAATTCCACCATGAAATATTCTTGTTTTATGGCACTGCCAGTATTACTAAATGTTCGTGTAGCAGTTCTAGCTTAAATTTTCAGGAATGTTGAGCAGCCATGGTTATCTTTATGAATTGAATGCTTCATTGCTGCTTTAAACCCCGGGATTAGAAAAGTTACCCATTGACAGGTATGGGGGCTGCATAACAAGAAAAGTTGTTTGTTTTATGCCAAAATTATATATATTGTCGTGTGTTGTCACGTGACAGCTTCACGTCGATCAGGGATGTAGCGAATATTTACTCTCCTTTGCTTTTACGCTTATACAATTCACAGTTGTACAGTCTTAGTATTATACAATCCAGTATCTCAATTGCTGTTCAACTATCTCTTGGCGAATGCTGGGATCCCACTCTCTTCAACGGGGACTGTCTCAAGACTTCAACTTATCCTGGATACTGAATACTAATACTCAATACTAATAACACTCTCTCTCTCTGATGAATACTCCTCGTTATGTAGCTTCCGCACTGACCACACAGAAAACGGTTATGTGATAGCTACCACTGTTGCATGATGTCGTGTTTACTGATTGCCTAGCAACAGTCGCTGCACGGCCTCCCCTGTTTTGTGACGTCACAGCTTAGTGCTGAGGGGTGTTTACCGAACATTGTGTAGTGATGGAAGGAGGGGGGGTATGTGACGTCACTCATGGAAATGCAGAGTTCACGTTACCCCTACTTCCTGTTGCACCATCCACGTTACATTGCTTCCTTCTAAAGGTTGTTCATCCCGAACAGCCTAACAGTACATCCCCGTTCCTTCCCATTTTCACGTCTTCCTGCTAGCAATGTTTGCATTCAGTCTTTCCATTCTCCAGGTCTCTTTTTTGGTGTTTATTCTACTGTTTGTCTCGAGCAGCTTCGTGGTAGGGAGCAGGCCAGTCCAGTTGTAGTACCAGTCACTCTCATATACTCATCGTCTTTCATTCTCCATTCATGCTGAGGAGGCCGGTGTTTCTACATTACCGGTTCATTTAAGTACTTTGAGTTGAAGAGGTGGTCGACTGCTTTAGAGTTGTTTGTAAAACAGATTAACTGAATTTATGATGTACTGTGTTTGCAGATGTTTCGAAAGCTTCATAGTCTATATACAGATGTTGTGTGCAATCCCTTCTATATCCCTTGTGATCATGTTATTTCCACGTAAGTCTGTGTAAATGAAATGCTTTTTTGTATATGAGTCATGAGTATATCTTCATGTCATTTATTCATTCATCAGTGGCTGTACAGCCCTTCGTTGTCTCCTGGCCTCTTTTTCATTTTCATAATCTGTTTATACAGGCTGTAGGACTCCTTGCATGAGGGATCAGCCCATTGCAAGGCCACTACCCATACACAGGCCAACACAGACACAGTCATCCATGCCTTGAGTGGGATTTGAATCCATCATTCCAGCATCCAAGCGAGTGAAGACAGTTCTTGCCACAGGGCCACTGTGATCAGTGTAGCTTAATGTAACATGTACATAAATTAATAAAACATGCTCTAGAGGTAGCAGTGAATTTCATAATTCTGATCATATCCTTATATGCTGGGCTCAGATGTGTTCTGTGCCACCAGAAATGTTTGCATAAATTCATTATTTATATATGCATATTAATTGTATACTTTTTCAGGAATTTTGATACCACAGTGAAGAATATAATGACTAGAAATACATGAGTTTGAATAAATGTGTTTGGAACATGTATTCATTATTCAAATGAAATAAATAATTGGTTATGAATTTCCTGTGTTGTAAAATTTGATACCTGTGTATTGGTTGATGCAAGAATGACGATGAAAGAACTATATTAATACATTACACAGGCCAACAGCTGTTTTGGTGCCGGGGTATTTGGAGCTGATTTCATATGAATTTGATGCCCTGAATTCAAATATGGCATTAGTTTTTGCCTAGGAGCTCAAATTTTTAAGATATAACATTTTGGTGAAATATACGTTACACTATTTTAAGTTAAATCAGTGGATCAAATAAAAAAACTCAACATGGAATTTTTATTACTATATTATAATTATATTTTTATNTGTTTTGTCTCTGCTATCCCAGAGGCACAAAAAGCAGGGATATTTGGTGTAACCACTTTGCTGTCCAAGGAGAAAATTTACCATTTTTAAGTCCACACAAATCACCCATTGATGTTCATGATACTTTATCTTCTCTAAGACCAAAGCTATGGTGTTATATTCTTCTTTCATTTTCGTGGAGTGAGCAATTGGTATTGAACCATATTTGTTTCCATTGTGTAGAAGGACACATTTCAAACTTCGCTTTGAGCTGTCAATAAATAGGCTGATCTAAAAACGCTGATCTAAAAAAGTAGAGCTGGTAGAGAAAAACTGATTTTATATTTAGATTCAGCGCCTTAAATATAACTAAAATTAGTTCTAAAATCCTAGGCACCAAAATTTTTTTTTTTTTTTGTAGGCCTGTGTTATATTCATTTATTTACAGAAAATAGGGAGAATTAATTTCAGTGTACACTGAAACCACTATTTAAGTGACAATGATCTAGGTATTTGCAGGAATGTGTGAAGTTTAGATATAACTTATCCAAGAATTTAAATTTCTTTTGATATGACGATGAAATATCATTATGAAATTATGCTTCAACTTGAATAAGTATTCACATTAATCAAAGTTGGAAAAGCTTACTGTTGAACATTCCACATTCCCATCAATTTCAGTAAAACAATCAGGAACATTTGCTAAGTGTTTGTATTATATTTTACAGTATAACTTTATTAGTCTGTTGGAAGAAATTTCAAACATTATTTCACAGTAATATTAAGATTCTTCTTCTAACACATTCAGAAAGCGGCCTCCGTAGTCTAGAGGTAACGTTCCCACCTCATGACTCGTGGTATGCGGGTTCAAATACCCGGCGGAGGTCATCGAATTTTTAAGGGCAGAAAAATTCAGGGAACAAGTCCTCCGGGAGGGACTTTAAGCTGTGTGTCCCGTGTTGTAACTTTACGGCACTTGAAAGAACCTCATATCCCCAAAGGGGATCACTGAGCCAAATTCCAGGACGTTTCCCGCCCAACAATAGCCTCTAAGGCCTCCGATAGATGGGGGAAGCATTATAGACACCGCTAAGCAAGTGGCCGAACTCGCTTGCTCGGCGGGACTGATGGTACGCACCATTTATCGGTAGGGTAAAGAGACTGGTAGAATATCATAGAGGGAAGCACAATAGATCAAACTGGTCGCGGTGCATGGGGAAACCCACCCTCTCTAAATAACTAAAAAAAAAACATTCAGAATGAATCATTTTGAAATTACTTTCAGCCCTCTAAACACAGTGAAATTCCATTTTAGCATTCCCAAATTTACTGAAATCCTGTACTAAACATTTTTTCTTGTCCCAGTTGAAATCAAATATAAATGATTATTTTCATACATTTAATATATGTAGTGAATTTAAATTAAGTAAATGTCCTGCACTGAGTGTAAGAAATCTTTTCCAGAATTCTATCTTGTTTTTGTGTAACTGTGGTCAAAATAACAGTTGTTATTCTCACTTTCTCTCTGTTGGGAATCATTCCAACACAATCACTGTACTCATTTCACATATCATTAATTATTTTAGACATTTTTTTTGTTACTTATTATATTATTTGCATTTAACTGCCTAGAAAGAGTTTCTTCAACTACATATGTAAAGAAATTAGCACAATCATATTCAGAAAGCTCTAAGATAAATAGCATGACATAATTCTGCACAGCCCCTATTTAGCAAAAACCTCAACTTAATCTGAAAAAAAAAAAAAGTAATTCCCCCAGAGATTCCTTAACCTTTAAACGCCGGACTTTTGAAATGGTAGTAAGCTTGAGCTGGCTGGAGTTTATTTAAATGCCCATTGCAACTCTGCGTTTAAATGTCTGTTCCTGTTAGGGCGCTTAAACAATTTAAGTACTGTGTTTAAAAATGCTGTATCTAACACAATTTTTATGATAAATGGATGGAATTAACTTTGTATCAGCAAAGAACATAGTGTCGCATATTATTGTGATGTCAGTTCATGTCCGTGGTCTGTGTGCGCACTTCTCCCCTCTACTGTC